GGGGGGCAGCTGGGTGGAGGAGGCGCACGCCATGACCTCGGCCGAACCGGACTACGCGCCCTCCCGGCCCCGGGGGTACAAAACCCCCAGAGACTCAGCGTGCTGAAAAATTCGAGACGGGGGGGCCCTCGGCAGGCCCCGAGACTGCCACCGAAACGACTCGGGACGAACAGCTGGCCCAGAAGGATGGTTCTGGTCGGGACTTGCCGGGACCTGGTATTCAAGATATCAAGACATCGGATGCTTGGGTATTTAGGAGAGCCAGTCGAGACAACGGCGGCCCTCTTCGGCTCCCGGAGGATCAGGAAGTACAGTCAGAGCCGACGTCCAGGAAGGGCCCTTTTCGCAAGGGACCCCTGGGCACTCTGCATCCGTTGGTGATCGTCATCGTCCGCACATGTTTCGCCCTTGCGGGCGTGCTGTTCGAGAGCCTTGCATCCTCGCGCCCCATACCTATGACTGGTGTTGACAGCAGTTCGGAGGAGGGCCAGTCGAGACAGCGGCAGCCTTCCTTTTTTCCTTCACTTGATTACAGTCTTGGGGTTGTTGTCGTGAGATAGTTTCAGATACACATCATTGTTTGTGTCTTCTGGAGGCTCGGGTTCCGCGTCGGGAAACGAACCAGGATGGACCACGGGAGGGATCCGGGGGCCGACGTCGAGCGGAGCTTGATCGGGCGGGAGAGTCGCCGTGACCTCATGTGGCACTGCTGCCCTCATCCGAGCAGTGCACCGGGTGCCCCTAGGGCGCGTTCTGGCCAGGCCCTCGAGGCGAAGCCAGGCGTGGGGACGAGGGCCCCCATCAGGAGGACCCACAAAAGGCAGCGAGCACGACTGGAGAAGCTTCACGTGTGTACTCCGCGTCGTGTGGTCGGCCAGGGGGCTACGAGAGTCGGCGGAGGAGTTTGGTGCATAGTCGCTCCAGCGCCCTACAAGTTGGGCAGCTCGGGCGTCTGTGCACCCAGCTCCCTGGCCGACAAAGCGGCGTGTGTATGTGTGTGATTGTGTGTGTGTGCTTGTGTGTGTGCTTGTGTGTGCGTGTGTTTGCGTGTGTGTGTGTGTGGGTGGGGGGGGTGCGTATGTGTGTGCTTGTGCGTGCGCGTGTGTGTCTGTGTGTGGGTTCGTGTGTGTGTGTGCACGTGTTGAACAGTATATCCGAATCCATATAATCATGTATGTGCTGGCCAGCGTGGACCCGACTCATGTTCTAGCATATTGTGGGTTGTCATGTGCGTTGCAGGCAATGTAGTGATGTAGTGTCCACTATGTGGTACAAAATTGGTTGTGCAAACTATGTTGTGCAATCTATGCGGTATGTGCAGTCTAGAGTTGTGCAACATATGTCTTGCAATATATGTGTTGTAATATATGTCGTGCAAGCTATGCACAGTAACGAAAGCACTACAACGTAACGCAAACCAATGCAAAGGCATGCGGAGCAACGCACATCAACGCCAAGGAATGCCAAGCAATTCGAAGCAACGCGACGTAATGCAAAACAATGCACAGTAATGACATCGAATGCAAAGCATTGCAAAGCATTGCAAAGCAATGGTAATCAATGTACAGCATTTCAAAGCGATGCAGAGCAATGCAAACCATGGCATAGCAATGCAAAGCAATGCAATGTGATGCAGAGCAGTCCGAAGCAATGCAATTCGGGCGGCCACGAGGCGGCTGGTGGCGACGAGGCGGCGACGGCGGCCCCATGGCGGCAAGAGCGGCCCGCAGGCCCAGGCGAGGAGCGGCGACGAGGCGGCGACGGCGGCCCCATGGCGGCCAGAGCGGCTCGCAGGACCAGGCGACGGGCGGCGACGAGGCGGCGACGGCGGCTGCCTCGCGGCCAGAGCTGCCGCCGACGCGGTTCCTCAGAAAATAAGTAAGAACCCCTGAGTTCAAGCACTGGGGAATCCATGTAGAGTACATACACACATACACGCACACACACATATGTATAACACATCGTGTGTGAGTGTATGTATGTAAGCATATGTGTATGTATGTATGTATGTATGCATGCATGCATGTGTGTATGTCTGTCTGTCTGAATGCATGTATGAATGTATGCATGTATGTCTAGATATGTGCATAGATGTGTGTACCTGTATTTGTACTGCATGTGCATTTGTATATGTGTATAGATAGATGTGTATATATATATATATGGTTATGCCTGTCTAGTGTGTATATATGTATGTTTGTATATATATAGTGGCCTTCGGCCCATCCCGCCACGGGTCGTAGGTTGAGGGTCGGAGTTCTCAGGGATGCTTCTAGGGGTCTCTTCGGAGCGCTCGGGGGCCTCTTGGGGGCAGTTTTGGGGGCCTCTCGAGAGCCTCTTGGGGGCCTCCTGGGGGGGGCTCTTGGGGGGGCCTCTTGGGGCCCTCCTGGGGGCCCCTCCTCTGGGCCGAGGTCTCGAAATGTCCGCTCGGGTCCCTCATCTGGGCCCCCTCTTGGGGCCGTCCGTCGGGCCTCTTGGGCCGTCTTGGGCGCCTCTGGCCATCCTGGGGCCTTCTTGGGCTGTTCGGGGCATCTTGGGGGCCATCTTGGGGGCCTCTAGGGCCGTGTGGGAGCGTCGGGGAGCCGAAAAGGCGAGAACGCCCAAGACCTACGCAAACTCAATGTTTTAGACCTCTTTGGGAGGCCTCTTGGAGTGTCTCGGAGGCCTCTTGAGCCGTCTGGGGGCCATCTTGAGCGTCCTGATAGTTCGGCGGCCCGTGGCTTGCTTGGACCGTTTTGTGGGGGTCTCTCGGGGCCATGGCTTGTGCTGGGGCCCTCCTGGCTTCGAACAGGCCAGGCGAGAAGCCATGACAAAAGACGCGCCACGCCCCAGGAGATGTGGCATTCTGGGCTTCCAGGCCCTGAGGACTATGCAGGAGGGAGGATGGAGGCTTGGAGGACTGGGCAAAGGACCCGAGGACATGCCCTCCACGTGCCCAGGGTATGTATACGTGTATATCGATCTGTGCCTATGCGTGTACAGATACATTGCACACCTTACGTCCCTCGCTCACAAGGGGAGGGGGCATATCTCTGGACGACCGACATGGGCACGGAAAGAATGGGTACGATGCCCAACAGCGGATCTTGTTCATTTTGAACGGGACTCGTTGCCCGCGCCGCTGCGGCCTGTAACCATTTGAGACAGAAGGCCGCCCGCCCAACAGCGGCCGCTGTTGGTCTGGGACAACATTTGCTGTTGGGCATTGTGTACCTCTTTTTCTCCGTACCCATTTCGGATTTCGGGCGTCCAAAGAGTGAGGATTGAGGCTTGGAGGATTAGGCAAAGGACCGGAGGACACGCCTTCTACGTGCCCAGGGTATGTATATGTGTGTGTGTGTGTGTGTGTGTCTATAGATCTGTGTGCATGTGTGTATAGATTCATAGCACACGCCGAGCCCTTCGCGCACGAGGGGAGGGGGGCATCTCGGCGCCGATGTGCCCTGCTCCCCCTGGAGGCTGCCCGTGAACACGCACGGCGGCCTGCTGGCCTTCGGCGCGCCGTGGGAGGTGCCCGCCATGTACAACGTCATCGAGGCCGTGGAGCAGCTGGCCGGGCGCGCAGGGGGCAGGCAGGTGCCCGGCGCCAGGCTCGGCACGGTCGGAGCGGATACGCAATACGCATCGTCGGCAGCGAGCGAGAGTCGGGGTATAGCCAGGACCCCGAATCTTGGCATCGCTCGGGCGTGTGTATTTTTCCTTCGTCAAGGACCATCTAGGAACATATTTGATCATTTGGCGAAAAAACCACGCACGAAACTGAAAAAAACAGGGAATGGACGTCCGAGCGATGGCCAGGAATATGGATTCTCGATGAGTCGGGAGTCTGGGCCGTCATCGTCGTCGTCGTCGTCGTCGTCGCGTCCTGGCCACGGACGCCGGCTCGCCAGGTGATCGGCCCCCGGAGCCCAAGAGATGGATTGGAGTCACGAAACCGGGTTTGCCGTAGCTGGTGCTTTTCGGGTGGCGGCAGTTCCGGTCAGCGGAACGGGGCGGGGGGGCGCCGCCCCCCGGTACACATCACTAAACCAGGTTCCACTAAGCCCAGTTCTGCCAACGCCCGATACGGATCGGCAGCGAGCGAGAGGGGGAAGTGTCAAGCAGTGGCGAAGCGTCCTGGCTCCCCATATAGCCCTACCAAACAATGTTCTAAGAACCTTTTGCGGTTTCCACGAAATCTTCTTAGAACATGTCTGGCGGGGTCTATCTTGGTTTAGCACATCGGGTTTGTATTCTAAGAACATTGTTTTTGTTATCAGAATAATTGTGGGTTCTGCGAACATTTCGTGGTAGGACTATAGGAATGCCGGGACGGTCGGTCCCTGCTCAAAAGTGAGAAGGGGTGGGCCTTCTCAGAAGGTTTGGAAGTCCCCCGGCCTTCTGAGAGGCTTCTTAGGCCTCCCCCGAAACAGGCAGAGAACTTCTCAGAAAGCGCGTGGCTTTCTGAGGAGTCCCGCCGCCCTCTGAGGAGGCCGTCTCCCTCTCACTTCCCCCCTCCCTCGCCGCCACACGGAACTCATGGGGACGAAGGCCCACAGCATTGGAGCCGGCCGGGGGCCTGAGGTGGCCGAGGACCGGCTTCTGGCGAGCAGGAATGAGGGCGAGGTTCAAGGTTCTGGGTTCGAGAAGGGAAGAGAGCGCTAGGTTCGTTGCCTTGTTCTGGGTTCGAGGTTCTGGGTTCGAGGTTCTGGCTTCGAGCAGGTTTCTGTTGCCTTGTTCAGCCCTCGGGGGGGCGAGCTTGGGCCCAGAGACCGTCACCGGGAGCAGGCAGCGCACCACCACCACCACCACCACCACCACCGCCTGGGGGGGGGGGTCGGGATGAGCGGATGTGCGCGCTGCAGGCGTGCAGGATGTCCTGCGGGAGCGCCCCAAATGGTATACACCACCACCACCTCGGACCACCCATTGCCTCCGCCCTCCAGCTTGGCATCGCTCAGACGTGTGCATTTTTCCTTCGGCGAGGACCATCGAGGAGCATCCTTGATCATGTGGCCAAAAAGCCACGTACGAAACCGAAAAAACACAGGGAATGGACGTCCGAGCGATGGCCAGCCAGGTGGTGGTGGTGGTGCGTTTTCTTTTCCCTGCGGCAGAGACGGTCAGCTGGAGCCCGGGGGTCAGACCGGGTCAGCTGAGGAAAAGCATCCACGCCGCTACCCTTCGCCGCCCGATTTCCTCCTTTTCGCTCTCCTGGGAGGCCCTCGTCGCCACCGTTGGATTCGCTCCGAAATCTTGGTCAGAACGCACCCTTGGAGAGGTCCACGGAGTAGCGGTATCGGTGCATTCTGATTTCCCCCAGGGGCACGATGTTGAACGGATTCGGCCCCATCCCCCCCTCTATAGTCGAAGCGCTGAAGAAGGAACCTTTCTCGTGTGGGAGGGGCTCCGTGCTCCAGTTTGCCTCGGGCTTTCCTTTGGTTGCCGATCGAAAATCAAAGTTTAACTTATGAAGAGAGAGAGAGAGAGAGAGAGAGAGAGAAAAAAAAAAACGGGCCTCGCTCCTTATTGATCGTTCTGTGGGTCAACATTCGAGAGTCCAGAGTTCGCTAGGGACTGGTTTCCTTCCAAAAAAGCAGAAACCCTCCCCAAACCATCCGAAAACCCTCCCAGAAAGGGCTCTGGGGATGCTTTCCGGAGGGTTTCCGAACGGTTTTGGAAGGCTTTTCGTCGTTTGGGGGGGAAGCCAGTCCCTAGCGAACCAAGGCTTTCTGAGGTCAACGCCCCAGACATGCGAAGTCCCGACACTTTCTCCAGGACCCGTTTTTCATCCTAGGTCGTTGTTTGACTTTCCCGAGGCCCGGCGAGGGCCCCCCGAGGCCGAAACTGGCCAAGAACCCTTCGTCCTGTATTTTTTAACAACGCGATCATGTCTGGGGCCCCAACTGTACCAATGTGATGTCTTGGGGCCCAGCCAGCTCAGACCTCCGGGCCGCCTCCACAACAGCAGCCTAGCTCTCCCGTCTCGGAGCGGGGGGGGGGCCAGTCGAGGCTGCCCCCGGCGTGTTCAACGTCCCCCCACCGCGCTTCGCTGGAGGGTTCTCGCAGTGGTGCGACAAGATCACCTGGGATGATGGGCCTGTTTTCCACTACCACCACTATGAGTCGGAGGGGGGAAGGAGGAGGACGAGCAGGAGGAGGACGAGGAGGAGGAGGACGAGGATGAGGAGGAGGAGGAGGAGGACCCGCTCCCCCTTCAACTTATGGTGGCGGTGGTGGTGGAAAACGGGCCCATCATGAGAGTCCCAGGCATGGTCGCGTCGTGACAAAAATCAGGGCGGGAGGTCTTTGGCCATTTCCGGCCTCGGGGGGCCCTCGCTGGGCCTCGGGGCCGTCCAAAAGACGACTCGGGAGGACAGGCCGGTCCCGGGGAACGGGGTCGGGGTGTCCCAGGGGCCCCGTGTGGAACACCTCAGGACGTCGCATGTCCGGGGCAGTGGTTCGGGGGCGGCAAAGAGGGGGGTGATGACTAGGCGGGGGGGGATATCGTGGCGGGGGCCATGCTATTTCCTCAGATCTCATGGCGCCTCTTCTTGTTTCAATGCGTCCCTGGCCCCCAACCCGGGCCGCGCACGTGCCGCCGGTCATGATTCGGGATCAGGAGGGAAAGAAACACACAGACACAATGAATCCTCGATTCCCCAGAAAATATGGGATAATAGGGGGAATCTTTTTATTTGTGTGTATTTGTTTGTGTGTCCTGGGGCCCCTTCAAGGAGAGTCCCCCAGGGGGGGCGGGGAGCCCAGGGCCGCGCGGTCCTCTGGCAGCCGTTCCGCTTGAGGCCTCCTCACGATGATCGGCAGGGCCGCGCGCTCTCGCCTCGAGGCCGGGTGGCAGGTAAGGTCCGAGAGTTCTCTGTGGGTGGAGGGCAAAGAGGTAAAGTCTAACATTCAAGCAGCGGCGAAGCGTCCTGGCTTGCCTATATCCCTACCAAACAATGTTCTGAGAACCTTTTGTGGTTCCCACGAAGTGTTCTTAGAACATTTCTGGCGGAGATAGTCTTGGTTTATCACATCGGTCTTATGTTCTAAGAACATTGTTTTTGGACATTTTGGGGGTCTTAAGAACACTTCGTGGTAGGACTAGAGGAATGTCAGGACGGTCGGTCCCTGCTCAAAAGGGGTGACATTTGACATGCCGTTTCGATGGATTTTCGAGGTTCAGATCTGCAGAGGGTGAATCACAGGACGGATTGATCCTCGAGGTGCAAAAGGCCCGTTTGGATTTCACCCTTGGCCCTCCACCCTAGGAACATTCTCAGTCGGTCCGGGCGGCTACGATCCCTGGCAAAGCATACGCGCAGCGGTGCGTCTGGCCGTGCTCTGGCCCTTGGGGGGGTCCTCTGGCCGGCCTCGTTCGCCTGCCTGCTCTCAGGGTGTTTTTTGCTGGGGTGGTCCGTTTCGGGCCTCCTCGGGGGCTCCTCATCGTCACGGTTGGATCCACGTCGCAAGACGCTTGGCATCGCTCGGACGTGTGCATTTTTCCTTCGGCGAGGACCATCGAGGAGCATCCTTGATCATTTCGTGAAAAAACCACGCACGAAACCGAACAAAAACACAGGAAATGGACGTCCGAGCGATGGCCAGGACGGGTCGGGACGGACGCAGAGAGGGACCTGGAGATTTTGATTTTCCCATCGGATTTGGGCCGGTCGGGAGAGCCACCGTTGTTTTAATGGGCCTTCCTCCGAATGTCATTCCAGACGCTTCGCGTAACCCCACAAGTTCAGTCAGGCCTCGTTCGCCGCACCATCGTTGACTCGGGGTGCCGCATTGAGCCTGTGTTAGTCGCTCGCTTCGCTCTCTTCTGTTCCCCCCCCCGCCTCCTGGCCTCACCGAATGTGGTTCGGCTGGAGTTTGGCGCCGAAATGGAGACTTCTCCCCCCCGTTCCACCGCCGGTCGCCGCGCCTGCGTCCCCACCTGCCGGGATGTCTGGGCCGGTCTCCTGCCGACGCAGCTTGCGTCTTAATGAGGGTCATTTTGTCCCTTGCACGTGCATTCGCTTCGGTGGCCAATTTACATCGTCATGCGCCCCGGACGTTGTGCTCGCTCCCTATCATCCGCCTTGGAGCCGCGAACCAAAAAAGTAACCCCACCAGCCTCTCTCGTGTGCAATTTAGGCTGCTGGTCGATTGCTGTAGCTTTGGACGGCGCGCGGCACTTCCGTTGGCGCGATCGAAAAGCAACCCCACCAGCCCATCCAGAAAAGATGCCCAGGTGAGTTGCCCTGTCCCGGCTCGTGGGGGAGCACGCAGTGGAAGAAAGGTTGGGAAGCCGTTCGTACCCACAGAGTGCGAGGACGGAGGAGGAACCAGAGGAGGAGGAGGAGGAGGAGGAGGAGAAGGAGGAGGAGGAACCAGAGGAAGAGGAGGAGGAGGATGAGGAGGGGCAGGCTCCTGCGCGACAGGGGGTCCGCCCTGGGCGTACCGCGACTGCTTCGTCGTGCTTGTTCTTCCGAGCAGCTCGGCTGGTCCGTCCCAGGGTGCTGCCGACAGGCTCCTGCACATCAGGGGGCCTGCCCTGGACGTATACCATGTCGCCTGGCACGTCGTGCTGTTCAAAGAGGTAGCTTACAGACTGGCCATCTCTTTCTTCAGTTTGCTTGTGGCTGGCTCAGCTCCTCACCATGGTCCCCCAGCCTGGTCGTGGAGCTCGCTGTATTCATCTTCGTCTGTTGGCACGCCTTACACGTGGCAATCTGCTTCCCCCACGGCACGTGACAGGCCTTTGGTTGGTGGTTGGATGGCTGGTTTGTTCGTTCAGAGTGCACGACGTCCTGTAATTGCATTCGTGGTGCTGGCAGAGATCTGGCTCAAGGACTCCCTGGAGGTGGAGTGTTGCTGTTGGTGTTGTATGTGGCCGCTGTGTTCTCGGCGCCCGCGGGATGAAACACCCCCGGCTGATGTGTATCGTGGCGTCCTGGAGCCGATTAGCAGATATTCTGTCATGGGTTCCCAGCGTGTCAATGGAGTTATCCATCATCTTCCTGCAGCAGGTGTGGCTTTGGGGTGCTTCCCCTTCCCATGCCTTGCTGCATTAGTGGCATTACTAGGGAGGAGGTGGAAATCAGGAGGATTTGGCGGATAAGGAAGAGGAAGAGGAGGGGCTTCTTGGGGCCTCCTGGGCGCCAATTGGGGCCCTCTTGGGGCACTCTTGGGAGCCTCGGGGGCCATTTTGGAGCCATCTTGGAGGAGCTCGATCAGAGAAGGGGGGCCATATTAGAGTCCCCCCCAAGGAGGCCCACATGAGGCCCAAACGCGTACTGTTAAAATCGATGATTCTGGCCTTCTCGCCGACGTTGTTTTGGACGCTCCAACGCCTCGCGAAACGCCTCCTCCAGACCCAGGGGGAGGGGGTAAGGGGAGGGGTAAACTCCTTACCGAAGGTGATGGAGAGGGCTGGAAGAGGAAATCCCCTAAGCCGCTCACGCCTTACAGGGCCGGTGGGAATTGTAACAGGAGTCGCTGTTGGCGTCGCCGCGGACGAGACAAACAATCCCCCGTCTTTCAGCGGCCGCTGCCAGTGTGAACAACATTTGCTGCTGAGCATCGTGTCCACTGCTTCCGTCCCTATGCTGGGCGTGTCAAGAGGCGGGCGCTGGTGTACGGCAACGGGGGGATCTTCTCCCACAGCGCCGTCGCCATCCTCGCGGCGCCGGTGGACTGAGGTCGTCCAGGCCTCCCGAAGACACGAGATCCGAGCTGACGGGGTTGGAGGCTCGACGTGGGATCCGAGCTGTTTTTCTTCGCGCTGGCATCGCCGCTGCATCGGCGATGCTTCGGCGGTGCGGCGCGAGGCTTCGACCCCGCCTGCGCGGAACCCGCGCGCGAGGCGGAGAAGTCTGAGCGTGGGCGCGGCGGCAACAAGTTGACCCTCCTCCTCCTCTTCCCCCTCCTCCCTCCTCCTCCACTTCCTCCCTCCTCCCTCCTCCCTCCTCCCTCCTCCTCCTCCCTCCTCCTCCTCCTCCCTCCTCCTCCCTCCCCTCCTCCCTCCTCCTCC